GATAATGTGCACACATTTTCGCATTAGAATGAAATATTTACATTTTGAGTGTCATTCGATAGGTAAGTTCAATAAACAACTTTTTGACGTATACTGAGTTTTTGAAGCTTCATAATTTGTTCATGCTCATGAATTTCGAGATGGGAATTTCTTTCACAGTGAATGGGTGTAAATACTTTAGCTTTCTTAGATGAAAACAAACAAGTCTAGTAAATGATATACATATGTATTGAAAATATGTACATACAAAGAATGTAATTTTTTTTCGAAATACAATGGATAATGGCATATGTACTTACGTTTATGTTATTTCGCACCCCTACCCAAAAACTGAAAATTAATCTATGTATATATATGCAGCTACATATGTTGCGTTAACATTATTTAAAGGATTTTTATTTAATAAATTCAACAAACCCATCAAGATGTAATTTTTCTCATCTTCTTATTTTCATATTTAGTTTTGTTCTCTTTTAACTTTAGACTTAATTATCGTATTCGAAAAAATTTCCTCCAAAAAAAAAAAAACTAACGCTTTACAATTCTTTCCTCGATAGCAACAATTTAAATAATTGTACAATAGATTTTTTAAAAAATTTGGACTTGTTAATTTTTCACCATTAATTTTAATAAATTTCGAGTTCAAGTGCTCAAAAATATTCAAAAAATTAGCCCTTAGTTTATAAAGACCTCCTTCAGATATGCACAGGTTTTCATTATCTTTCACTTCGCGGCACTGCACTTTTGGAGAGTGTGGTCTTGTTCTGGCTAATGCTAATAACCGTGGCAGAAAAATCATAGAAATCATACATACGGATATTTTAAAAGGCTTTCCTCGCTCACGCCGTGCTTCACAAAAACGCCAAAATTGGTTTTAAATTTTTCAACAAAACCAAAATTCAAATGTATATCCCCGTCTAGCCGTTTATAGGTGAAGAGAGGTGTCGCATGGTGGCGTTTTTTTTTCATTTCATTAAATTTCAAATCACTCTGTACCGCTAAAAAACATTGTAACTTCAAAAAATAAAGCCCTACTGCACATCTACAGGCCCAGTTCTTTAATTTGACATCTCATTTTTGAAATTCGAAATAACGCTGCAGATTAGATGACCTTCACAAAAAACGCCTTTGCGTTTTGTATATGTACATGGTTACATATATATTACTTTTCGTATAGTTGGCAACCCTAATCAAAAATATTTTCAAACTTAAGTTTTCTTATAACTCGTTTGTTTGACACTCTTATTTTAATACTTTATTTACCTAGTCTACAAGTTAAATAAATTCAACTTTTTAACAAGGTGGCAACCCTGTTTTTCAACTGACATTGTGATACCTACTTCAATTAGTTGATGATTGGAATCGAATTTGATTTTCTAAACGGCTCAGAAAAAAATCATTTTCAAACCCATCTTATAATTCATAATCAATTTCCAATTCACAAAATGTAGACAATAAATTAAAACTTTGGGTGTTCGCACATCCATTTCGGTAGTTTTGGTAAACTGCTGGTTCTTTCTCGATAATTTTATCAACTATGAACGTCTTTCTCAGCTTGCTTTTGTAAGTCTGATAAACAGTCATTTAAATAAAAAAAAGGGTAAAATAATTATTATCTTTTAACATTTTCTCTTAGTTTGATTTTAGGTTTAGATATGCTTAGCGCTAACAGAGGTTTTGTAGAAAAACACAAAAATGAAATCATTACTAAAACAGTTTATCGATTTGCATTTTTAAATAAACAAGTAATTTTTTTGAAAAAAACAAAACCGACTTCAATTCTCATGTAAAACTTTAAGATTACATAAAAAAAATATTCCGACGAATTGGTACCCTCCTCCTTTTTTTGAAGTCGGTTAAAAATAATGAATAAATTACGGTTTTGGTGTAAAGACGAAGTCGCATTTTAAAATTTGCATGTAATTAAGATAATTTACAAATTTGTATGTTAACTCTCCAATGAGTTCTTAATAAGCTTTATGCAATATAAATTCCTTTGTAGGGCTCGGTACAACTCCATTGTTAAAATAACAAGTAATTTTTAAGCAAAAAACACAACCGACTTCAATTCTCATATAAAAATTTAAAAGTACCGGTTAATGTGGTCTAAAGTTATGCGGTAACATACATGAGAAAAATATCCACCTTTTATTGAAGTCGGTTAAAAAGATAATAATTAATGAGGTAAATTATTATAAATTTTAAGTGGCTATATTTTAATATTTCTAATAAAACATACATTAAAAAATCTCTTCAAGAAACTCTTTGGCTAAATGCGGTGAGGTAAAATTTTTAACAAAATTTGTCCAGGAATCAGAATAAATTGAAAAACAGTACAAGATATCATGAAGATTATTATTATTATTAGTATTGTGATCTCCTGTCATATGTCCAATCAAACACTCCCAAATTAAAGTGTGAACATGTGTGGGCGTTTATGATCGCATGATCGAAATGATGAATGACGGAGTTAGGGAACCTTCTTCTTCGATGCACCAGGAGGAACTGGGAAACATTCCTTATCAGATTGATTCTGGCAATAGTCCTCTCGCTTGGTCCGGAACAGCTGCGACACTGTTATCAGGTGCAAGGACTGCTCATTCAGCCCTGAAGTTGGCTGTTAACTACGAATACATATGTGTGTTCAGCAACTGAACGATCAAACAGCCGATGTATTCTTGCGACAATTACTGGACATTGGGAATGGAATGGCTGCCAGTCGAGGAGAGATTAAGACGAATTTCATGGCCTATTCATTTTGTAACTTATTAACATCCAAGGGAGCACTGATCGAAAGAGTCTTTCCGAATACTCAAATTATAGGAATCATGATTGGCTCAGTGAACTAGCTATTCTTGTAATTAGCCAAAACTCTCTAACGGCACTCGACAATGAAGAAATTGATGAAGAACGTGGTGGAACCAACGATTTTAACGGGGCATTACAAAGGCATATACATATGTCCTCATAACACGAATTCTCGGGAAAACTTTATGTTGCGTGCTCCCGTGTCGGCAAACCAGATAGTCTTTATAACTACGCAGGGAATGGAAAAACAAAAATTATTGTTTACACACATGTATTGCAAAATTAAACTTATGTACATATACATGTATATGAAACGTATGCTCTGTTTCGTTCCTCATTTCTCATCCATGTGAGAGGAGTGTGTCACAGCAAAGCGTGGCAGGGTAAAGCTAGTTAATTTAATTTTTTGAGCCTATAAAACTCAAATTGGAAGATGCGGTCGAGTGTTAAGATAAAATCTTTTCAAAAATAGGAATTGCAAAATTTCGAGGTTAGTCAAGGATAAACTTTTAAAAGAATATTTAAATACCTACACGGTCCCTTCTTTAATTCTACGCAATTTTATATTTAGTTTTATATCCATACTGTTTTTCTACATTGCACTGAATTTTTTAAATATTTTTATAAGCTAGCACTTTTTCGAATTTCAAAGTCCTTTTTAAAAAATCCTGACATCAGAGAGAAAAATTAAAAACGCAGTTTTCCTATATTTGGCCCATTTGCAGCTTCCAGATTTCTTATTGCACATTTCTATTACAATTACGATTTGCTACTTCTGCTGTTAGAAAACTCTACTTCTTTTGAGATTAATACACTCGTTACGAGTACTGCTACCGATACATACTTACATATGTATATGGATATTGTGGACTAAAAGCAAATGGTTGTTAATTGGTAGTCAATGTTTACAACTGAAGTGCCACATAAAACAATTTTCTTGCCGCCAATGCATATATTCAAGCAGTAATGGTTATGAAAGCCAACGAAATGGGAAACTCTAGAGCAAGATTAAATAAAACAACATCATATTTACATATATAGTAATATATAGCCAAGTAAGGGCTCAAGAGCAATCAAAAAGTGTGGGCATTAAAATATTAACAACATTTCCAACGCCACTTATGCAAAGCCGCAAATCCACTCAATACCCGCTGCATACACGTACAATTGTTTGCATTAATGCACAATATACTTTACATATACATATGCAAACAGCAACGCCAGAATAGCAACACGTAAATAGATGTCAACATACCAATATCGCTCAATAATCATAATCCCTGCCAAAATCTCAAATACAGCCAGCGTGGCGTATACGCAACCAAAGTGCTGAGTACAGTTTTGTATGTATGTAGGTAGATATAAACAGTGATGAACAAAAGTATTGGCACAGTGAATTTTTCGCAATATATGCAAAGTTTTTTATTCTAATTTATTTTCTATAATTTTTTATAAAAATATAGTTCATTTTACACCAAACTTTGTGCAAAACTCAGGAAAATTCAATAAATTTGCACACTAATTTGCACCTTTCTAATCAGATCTTTTTGAAAAATTCTAAGCATACAGTTTTAAAGGTCATTCAATTCTAGTATGACAAAATGCATGTTTAAATTTCCTAGAAAATTGCGTTGATTTTTGGCAATTTTTTTAGTGGAAGGTGTTGCTCATTTTCTCCATGCAAAAAATAATTGTCGAATATACATTACCAAAAATCAACGCGATTTTCTAGCGACTTCAAACCTGCACTTTGTTATACCAAATTTGAATGGGCTAAAAACTGCATACTTGGAATTTTTATAAAAAATCTGAATAAAAAGTTGCAAATTAGTGTGCAAATTTATTGAATTTTCCTGAGTTTCGCACAAAGTTTAGAGATTTTAATATTATGTTTTCTAGTGTAAAGTGAACAATATTTTCATAAAAAATTATCGAAAATAAATTGGAATAAAAAACTTTGCATATATTGCGAAAAATTCACTGTGCCAATACTTCTGTTCGTCACTGTATGTTTGTATCTATAACTGTTATGTACTCGTTTGCTCATTTATACAACCACCAAAAGCTTTTGCGCCTTTCAACAACTTTTATCTACCCTCCCTTCCCTTCCCTACTCCACTCTCACCGTTTTCCGCCACCCCCTTTTGAAATTCCTCTATTTGCCGAAAGCATTAATGCGCAGCAACACTTACCGCAGCTTCCGATGCCACATAACGGACACAATCACCAGCGCATTGCCAAGTATGGCGGCGAGTATGATGAAACAAATCACGCAACATTTGAATATGACAAATGCCAAGTACGAAGACAATTCAGATGTTGTCGTTGGCGTTGATGCAGACGTCGATGTTACCGCAGACGCTACCGAATCATTGAACGACGTTACAGATGCGGCAATAGCTGCTGCCGATTTGATAGGAACTAAATTGTTGCTACTACTGCCACCTTCAAGTGCCGTACCATCAAAGCCAGCGCCAGTGCCAATGCCCTTACCATTGACATTGCCTCCATTGCCATTGAGCAACACATTCGCCACGAAGCTTAAGTATTTCGGTTGATCCGCCTGCGTGGGCGGCGTTGCGCCTGCTGACTGAATAGCGTCAGCTAAGCGCAAGGAACCATTGACAGTTGCTGTGCCTGTTGTGATTGCCTCTCCGATGGTTCTTTCACTGCCAACTGCTTCCAAGTGCGGGACGTTAGTGTTACTGGCCACCGCTACCGCCGCCGCTGCTGCCGCCGCCACAGCAGTCCCTGAGTAGGCCACAAACAATGCGGCAATAAATACAACTATTGTTGTTGTTGCTGTTCTAACCAATATCGTGGCACAAGCTGTTGTTGCGGCACGCATTACTGCTGCCATAGCTATTACGCAGGACTTTATTTGCGCATTCTTGATGGCGTTTGTTGTGGCTAATGATGCTGGCATTGCGAGTGTTGGCGTTGATTGCATTGTTGGCGGACTTTCGCCTGCTTTAGTCTTTGTGGTTGCTGCTTTTGCTGGTTTTATTGGCATTGATGGCATATTTGTGCGGTGTGCGTAATTTAAAGAGTGTCTGTGAGAAACCTTACTTCCATTTGCTTTGAAACCGTATACGCTTGATTGGCGGCAGCAAAGGCGGCCGTCTTGTGTGCCAATGCATTGTTGGAGCTGAAGGAAGCTGCGATTGTTCCTGTAGTTCCTAGTTAACAATTGAAATGGCTCTTTGTAGTTGAGGTGTTTCAATTTAAATACATATATTATTGTTGCTTTTGCCTGTTTTAGTTTTGAATTTACTATGTATTTTTAATTCACTTTAACGGTGGTTTAAATTCAATTTGAAGCATAACTGAAATAAATAGAAAAGAGAAATATACATATATATTAAAACACGACTGCATTATATTTACACGAATTTTAGGTGTTTATACATAAAAGGTCAATTTATTTGCCAACTGCGGAAATAATAAATCTTGATTACATTTTTAAAAGCTTACATTTCATGTAAAACAGGTATCACGTCGTCAAATATTCAGCAGCCTAATAGCCATGAAATAAAAATATCTCCACACCCTGAGTGAAATTAGGAAAATTTATTTTTAGCCTTAAAATTGCCGTAACTTGAAGCATTATTCTTTGGTCGGGTGGTCGCGTCATATTTGGGCGTTCTACAACAAATTATAAAATGCCAACACTGCACCACGCTATGGCTTTAATATGCGGAAGCTGTATAAGTACAGTGTTGCAAAATGTGCTTGTGTTGGTGGTTAGTTGGGAAAACCTATGACACAACATTATGCACTCAAGTGAATAATTGGACAAGAGCCAGGTAAGTTTTCCAAAAAAACTTTCAAATAAAAATTCCATATAAAATTTTGTTCTCAGAAACTTGCGAAACTATTTAATGGAATCCAATTACCTTGACCCGTAGCAAGTAGTAATGACAAAGAAGCCAACAAACGTTTGTCCTTTTAGGGAAATATATCTTTACAATCAGTATTGGTGAGAGAAGTTAAGTGGTATTTGAATTTGAGTAATGCAGAAACTTACAAATGCATTCTGTATTGGAGATTGTCTAGAGTAATAATCCTCAGGAAAATAATAGGTAAATGCATAAACTCGTATGCTGAACAGAGTTTAGAACACAACAACAAAGTCGGGCAAAGAAAACTGCATTATCCCTAATTCTGTTTAACCCTAGAATACTAACCATGGGTAAAATTTACTCACATGCTTTTCTTTACAAGCATCGTAGCAGAAGACGGTATGCGAGAGCGACATGAACGCGGACAAAACTGTTTGAAAATTAACCAGTTTTAGTTTACCTGAAACATGTGGGCGCTAGAAGGTGTAGCAGTAGCGCAATTAGGGAATGTTAAAAAATGTATGTTTTTAAGATTAGTGTTCTAGGGTTAAGCAAGCATTTAGTCTATTTTCAAATTAGCAAACATTTTTACAGATTATACATAGGAGGTCCCAAAATAAGATAAACTGTGGTACCCATCTTTCTACCTTTTGCTGATGAATTAAACTAACTATATTGCGTGTAGTAGTTATTACGCATCAATTGGTTTCAAACTCAATTCCTGTCTTAGGGGAACCATAGTAAAATTTAAAAATAAATATTTTCCTATAACATATTAATTCTTCAAATATAACATGCTTAAGAAGCTACAATCTTGTGAGCTCATTTAAGGTGGCACATTGTGGATAAAAATTTACTAGGGCTAGACGCATATGAAAATACCCTCCGATTAAATCTCAGTGCGCTATAGGTCTTTTTCTTAATTTTTGGTAGTGCCACTGAGAAAAAAAAAAATTTACAAACATTTTTTCCTCAAAGACCGATGCACAGTAGTCTGAATAGAAAATCTAGCAGGACAAAACTATTTTAATAGATTAGCGTTGATGGATTTGTACACCTCATCGTATCTACTTGCTTATGGGGCCACTGATTACAAATCTTCAGTCAGGTTTCAAAAATTCAATATAGCGGACAAATTTTTAAAAATTTATTGAATTCGCTCGAAAATTGTTACTCGGTGGGTTTTAGTGGTATTTCGGAGTTTTTATGTTGGCTAATTATTACTCAAAAAGCAGGTTTCAAAAATCCAATATGGCAGACAAATTAAAAAAAAAATTGCATTGAATTCGCTCGAAACTTCTTACTCTGTGGTTTCTGAAAAGTGAAAATTATTATCACCTACTATGGTAGTATTAGTATACTTCAAGTGCGCTAAATATTTAGTGCGAATGTATTAACTTGTTCTAACAGACCTAGTGATCAATTATTATGGTTCCACTAAATACCAGAAGAGTCCCCAGTAGCCCTCAAAACACTCAAATAAAGCCAAAATCCAAAAAATTTAGCACGAAGAACCCCGAAAAGTCCTGAAAATGAAAAAAATAAAAATAAAAAAAGGTCACGAAAAATGCCCCATAGTTATTTAAACTTCCAAAAAGTAAAAGCCAAAGGTTCCGGAAAACGAATTTTAAAAAATCCAGAGCAAACTTGAGAAGTTCGATATATACCGAAAGTTACTAAACATTTCACTGCATTATTATTTCTATTCCCGAGCCGTTTAGTATTTAGAAATCTACTAAATACAATTTTACTTTTCATTTTAGTACCCTCAAATACTGATATCTATAAGTCTTTAGTATTTAGCGTATCCCAAATACCCCGTTTAGGCTTCTCTAAATACTAAGTACATGTGAAAAAAATATATCAGTATAGTCTAAAGACTTTGCCAGTGAACATCAAATTTTAGTTTCATATAAAAATTAACTTCTAACCAGGCTAAAGAAGCCCGCCAACATCAAATTACTAAATTAGTTAATATTTTTTCGCCAACAAAATATCGCGCGTTACTTTCCCACAGTGCACATCATTATTTATTAACATTTTACGTCGTGGCTTATCCACCAACGAGTTTAAATATATCCTTCAAAAAAAAAAAAACACTACACAACTCCCATACACATCAATATGGGCATCACTTCCCAAATAGTGTTTGCTTTGTAATTTTATTCCATTTGGCTTATTGGCTTACCGACAAAATTCTTTACCGCAGACACCAAACAAATAAATACATACTATACCCAAGAGGGAAGACATTTTTACATGCTGTTTGTATAAGCTGATATGTCTATGTATGCGTAAGTTGGAGGTAAAGAAAATGTATAGCTGACTAGGTGTATAAATTATTTATTATGTAAATTCTTGATATTATGAAATATGTATGGTTTACCCAAGCGCCTTTTTTATGCAAATTAAAGATACATACAGTTGTAGCCAAAAAAAAAACCCTGCTCCCACTTAAAAAAAAAAAACAGGCAGAATATGTAAACGAATAAAAGAAAATTATTATAATTTAAACATGTATAGTGCACACTGAAACAAAAACTATATAAATAAAAGCTTCAAACTTTGTACAAATATTTATTACAAAATTCATCAAAATTTCAAACTTTATAATCAACATTTTTGGGAAAATTTCTGGTAGGCAGGTTAAAAGCTCTCCAAATTTTAGTATACTAAAGTGCAAGTTTGAATTAGTTTTTTCATACAATTCACTATGGTCTGGCGACTACTATTTGCTCGCCTACACTTCAGAAGTACACAAATTGATTTGAAACTTGGTGTTTGGGGGTTTTTGTGTGATGTCAGATTTTTTAAGTACAAAATGGTGGATGCAATATGGCGACCAAACTTTACAATGTTTTCCCTTTCACCAAAAACTTTTATATAAGGGGGGTTTCAGGTGGCGATGTCAGATTTTTTTTAAAGTCAAATACGGGCCCAATGTGTGGCTATCGGATTCGGAGCAAAACACTAGACCACATTTTTTCTATATATTTTTAACTAATCATAGATGCTTCAAATAAAAACTGTTTTCTTTGGATATAAGTAATATGAGCGCTTGTTTTTGTGTTTTATTTGTACAAATTTGTATTTAAGTATTTATTTGAAAAGGCACTACTATAACAATTATAATTTCATTTCATATAACACTGTGCGACAATTTTATGGCAATTGAAACCAGCTAATATTTTTTCCAGTATCCAGTAATAAAATACAATATATCGTCCCCTCAATATAATAATAGCGTATGTGCTCATACGCCATTATTTTTTTATTGCATATTTAGAATCTCCATCATTGATTCTATGTCTGGTCAAAATTTCGTCAAATTCTACTTCCACAAAGTGGGTCAAAATGTCATTGGAAAAAATGGTGTATAATTTCTTGTTCAAAAATTTCCTTCAAACAAAAAAAAAACAAAAACTTTAAACTCGATTTTCTCAAAACCCAAAAAAAATTATAAGCTATTGTTATATTGAGGGGACGATATAATATGCAAAAGTTAGCTCGTATTTTTATTTTATGACCCACTAAAACATTCATGTCCCGGCCAAAGTACTTTTCAAAAAAGTAGAAGAAATTGTTAACACAAATGTCTGAGCGAAATTATAGGTTAAGACATATATGGTAAAATTTCATGGGAAATATTTTCGTAGAATATTTTAAACCATTAGCTCCCGCCTGAAAGGGTCATTATGACCCTTACTTCAAGAAATCCCGCGAAAAGCAAATCTGGAAGTTCGTTAAAGGCTAGAAAATTATTCTTCGGAAAATTTTACTAGGGGTCTTCTCAGGCAAAAACTTCATTCCACCAACGTAAAAGTCTCTAAAAAATTAAAATAAAAAATTCTTGCCAAGTAGGATAACAGCCAAAGACAATTAAAAAATTTAAATAAATATATAAAAAACCAAGTTTTGTTTGCTGCTTTGAAAAAGATACTAAGCAAGTAATATTAGGCTAGATATCAGGTTATAAGTTATATTTATTTTTTATTTTATTAATGTAAATAAATTCAGTCTAAATTTTAAAAATAAAAGACTTCACGAAAAACACCAGAGCATATTCTTCCACCGATACTGGCTATATAACTTATATGTTAACTTTTATTAAAGCACATTTCATGTCTTCAAGCAGGTGATGCTTCTACACGTCTTTATGTACGCTCTGCACCTTTCGCAGTCATTGGTTGACCAGAAGATATTCGCCTTAAATCAATAGACTGACGCTCTTGTCATTGTCCTTGACAAAGGTTGCTGCCAACCCAACCGCAATGGCAATGAAATGAAAATGGTCTGCACGAGTATGGCAACCACCTGAGCTAGTAATATGGTCTGATTTATGGCAACAAACAGCTGGTGGTTGCCATAGGCACATCACTAATGTTTTTGGGAAGGTAATTAGGTAGAGGACAAGAAACATTGTATTACATACGTAAATAC